CAGTTTTGGCGACTTTGGACCGCTTTCTGCCCCAATCCGGGTCGCCATCCGTGTCCTCATCGGTGCTGAACTCGTTGGCCGAGTCATCACTACTGGACTCGTCGTTGCCGACGAAGATCTTGAGCTTTCGGTTCGCCTCAAACAGATCCCGACGGAGGCGACGGTTCTCGCGGTTTAATTCAGTGATGACTGACTGGAGTTGAGTGTGCGTGAGGTGACGATAGTCACCACCAGTTGATCCCATGGTGTCCGAGAGGCGGTTTTTGTGCGTTAAGTTTTGGTGCAATTGCTGTAATCACGCAGTGTTCGCGATAGTGGAGTCTTTTTTGGTGGTTTAAAAAGTTTGAAATTATTTTAAACATATAATTGTTATTGACATTAATATACAATATTAAATAAATCTTTACTTAATTTATTTTAATAATTAGTGCTTAATTTTCAATAACAGTATTAACTTATATTAAGCAAAATATTTCTATGGTTAAATATTTTATATTGAAATCATTTTAATAAATTAAATATTTTAAGTGTTTAATATTTTATTTTTCAATATTAACTAGCTCTTAAAATAAATACTCTTTAATTAGGCTTTATTTATTACATGAAATATGTGCTAAATTTTAAATTTAAGTATTGCTCTTGTTCAATTTGAACACATTAAAACAACGAGTCTCAACTGATTTTGAAACAAATATGAGATTTCTTATTAATTAAACAAAAAGACATTTTGCACCAGAATAGCACACAAAGATTAATTGGCTATTAAATGGGCGGATGTTAAATGTGACGGAAGGGTATGTTTATGGAAAGGGATCACTCGGAGACCATTTAAATTCCCGCCTCATTTGGATATTAAGTGGACAGTCAGCTCCTCATCAAAGATGAATTAATAGATAGATGATTAAATGAAAGATAATTAATAGAAATAAATGAATAAAGAAATGAAAGTAAAAATTGAAAATTTTCTAAATTATATACAGTTTGTCAAAACTCTATGTCTGATTGTAACTATATCTTCGCTGATCTGATCTATTGGTGATATCTCTTTGGCTAATGCTTTGAATGCGTCAAATGTTTTCTCTTCTTCAGTGATCTCTCGAATGGACTCTTCGTTCAGTTCTTTGCCAAACGATTCCTCGAAGTGTTCACTACAAGTACTACATGGGAGCGTATAATAATTAGTGTACTTGTCGTCCAGGTATGTCATCTTAACACATTCAATACCATAGTCTACTATTTGTTTGTTTCAGTGCATGACTTACATTACTTTAACTGTATTACAGTGGCGTTTGATAAAGTTACGCTAATACTATTAAATGCTCTTAGCCGAATGTCTCAACAGAATCAATTGCTTTCTGTTGTCTGGAATGTTGTACCGACTGATCGCTGTAGTGAGGGTATTAGTCAGGCCTCATTGCCCCCGATCAACAACCCCGTCATGTAACAGTCTAGTGCCCACTCTATTGGGTGCGCATAGAGACCATTATTTTGCACTGAACATCAGTGGACCCTCTGGAGAGCCCATCAGTACATGGATATACTGTTGATTCAGGAGTCAAAAGCATCCTGTCGTGGCAAATGGTATCTCCCTTTGGGTCAAATTCAAGCAAACGAACAGATAATGGACGGCACAAAAAGGAAGTACTCGAAGAATCTGGTCTTGAGATCGAAACGACAGCTTTGGTGGTCATTGAGAGTGAAGGGAGCGCTTGGTATAGGTTTACATACACTGGACGTGTCATCGGTGGTCACCTCAAGACTGTTGAGGACAAGGAGTCAATTGAGGCCAAGTGGTGGTCTGAAAATGAGTTACAATCAGCTAATCTTCGCTTTGAAGATATCTTGGATTTGATACATTGTGTCCGAAAATATCACAAATCGGTTAATACTTCGCATAACTCAAGACTCACTGCCATTAGAGCTCACAATCAGATGCTTTTAAGAGTTGTATTGTAATGACTGTCAATAGGAAATCAGTTTGTTTTTATTAAATTAAATTCCTTATTTTATAAAACAATTTTTGTGAAATACATGAATGAAAGTGCATTTTACAGCAAAAGGCAATTAATACTGTTCTATGAGCGCCCGACCCCTCATTTGCCAGTGAAATGGATGCCAGTGTCTGTGAAATGGATCCTTCAAACAGTTTTCGAGTAACTCTTAGTTCGTTCCTAAGGTTTGTTTGACTGATAAGTATTTTATAGCACTTATGTCTGATGTCTGGCTTTCATAGAGAATATTGGGACAGAATTTCAGTGAAGACTATCAGTCATTAGGTGTGCTATCAGTTGAACACAACGGAGTTTATAATAAAACTTTTTATATTACAAATTGTAAAATATTAAATTACAATTAGAAAGTTATAAAAAGATTTGATTTAAAACTTTCTATAATTTGAATTATTAATACTGTACTGGCACATATTAAATAATAATGAAACCAATCAAATCCATAATTAAACTGTTAATCAAAAGACAATCATAACATTACAGGAAACAGTTTTATTTCAATTATAATCAAATGTCGTTATGGAAAAGTATGGGCAAAAATTTTACGGTAAGTATCAAAAGTGTATTACAAATATATCGTATGTCTTCATGTCTTCATTAATAAATAGCTAAAAGTCTTATCAAAACATCTAAAAAGTCCACTAATTATCTCAAATCCACACAATTATCTCAATCCTCATCCTCTATATAGATCTCGTCATCACTTAAGTAGATCTCTTCGTTCGAGTCATCAAACTCTCGGTCATCACCGCCACCAATGGTCACCACCGGAACCGATGTCTCAATCGGCGCCACAGTCTTGGCCTTCGTCTTAATCGACTCCATCTTTACGTTAATGAGTCGCAGAGTGTGTCCATCGGCGGTACGGATGCGCTGATAGCCAAACAGATCGGGATAACACTCAACGAAGTCCAAGAGAGTAAAGTCGTCGTTGGGTTTGACGCCAAACACGTGGCCGACGATTGTCTCGTGTCGGCGCCCGATCTCATTCTTCAGGTGATCCACATCTTGCGGGCCGTTCGTCATGAGATGAATGGCCACCAAATACTTGAGGACTGCATACACGGTGTCATCCAAGACGTCGCGGACCTGCTTCAGGATCTCGACCACACTCTTCGGCAGTTGAATGCAACGGCGCTTCACATTCACGACAACAGTATTGACGTAATTATCCTTCAAGTAGTCCATCAAATCGGTGCTAAATTTCGCTTTGTCTGTCTTGGGATCGGCTACGATGTGGCCGACACTCGACACCAGATAGTCGTACCGCTTGTTATCCAACACATCCACCAATCGATTGATCGACACTTCCGTAGTCTTCGCGAACTCATAGCCATCGACGAGCTCTCGGAAGACATGCAGAAATAGCTCCACTTCGCAGACAATGGCAGCCATCGAGTCGGGTGTCATCGACGGCCAGTCGACGCACTGATCCTCCAATTGTTTCAAACGCAGCGGTCGTACGAACCGCGTGTCGGCCCTCTTGAGGCCCACCTCTCCTGACATGTGGTCGTAGACGAAGTCGCGGTCGAACTCGAGGAAGAACTTCACGAAATCCGATTGATTCGGATATTTAACTAAAAACCATTTCTTCATTTCCGGTGACATATGGCGTCCGATGTGTCCCTTAAGACAGACAAAGACAATGAGTGGTAGGACTGCAGTCACTCACACAGTGGTCGCCATCAGTGATGGCCTTAACACTGGCCACCAATGGTAGCCATCAATGGCCGCCATCTGTAGTGGTCATCAATGGCATCCATCGGTGGTAAGCGCGAAGACACACACGAGATAACAGAGTAATAGCGAGACTTACGGCGAAATTGTGGGGTCGGGTGCTCTTCCCCTGATTGGTCTTGAAGTTAATGAGGCTCTTGAAGAACTGAATGGCCTCTCGTCTCAATGCCTCGTCGTTCAACTGATCCATTGTCTGATCCATCTCTTCGTGATATCAATGTTTCGCTCAAATGGTCTCAGATTTAGCGCAAAACACAGCAAACAATAGATTTGATGATTTGATGACTCATTCATAGCATTCACGCATTCAGTGACAGAGTGGGCGCTCATTGAAGCGTAAAGTTCAGTGTAAAGCGTTCGTAGAGTTATAGTGTTGTGCACTGAATGGGGGGCTAATAGTGTTGTGTTATTTGACATGTAATTTGTGAGCGCATATGAAATATGAATTTATTTGCCAAACGAATGGCTTAAACAGTGCTTTGAATGGAAAAAGTTTGAAAAAACTTTTATTACTTTTAATTACACAAAATTGACATAGATGCTATCACCTAGATCAATTTAAACCAAATTTAGCAGTAATATAAAATAGTAACAAATTGCATACTTTCAATCACTGACTTAGAAATTACTTTTCATATAAGTTTGTACAGTAAGTTTAACTGAGCGAGATCACTAAAAATTACTATTTGTTTGAACGTTATGTTAAAGTAATTTAAATTAGTTATCTATTTAACTATTAGACTACAGGCTAAACATACTGTACTATAAAATCTAGTATTTATGGTAAATTTTCGATAAAACAATGGATAAAAGTCCCAAAACCGATAGCCCAGACATACCTATCATTCCTGCGGATCAGTTGTCTGGCATACAATTGAAGCCAGATTTGTATCCCTCGGCAGACAGTAGTGACCATCAGATGAGTATATCAGAGGTAACAGAGATCGACGACAACTCTGCCACTGATATTAAGAAAACTGCGAAATACAAGGAAATCAATGGTTATATCAAAGGCGAGGTCTTAGGCAAAGGCCAGTTCGCCACAGTCCGGGAGTGTCTCCATAAGGAGAGCCTTAAGAGATATGCCGTTAAGATAATGAGGACTCAGAAACTCAAAAAGTTGGGACCAAGTGCTCAGAGAAATGTCAAACAAGAGATACTATTAGTCCGCAAACTGGACCACAAGAATGTCATGAAAATGGTTGACATTTATATGAATCCCAAGAATCAGAAGATCTACTTATTTATGGAGTATTGCGTCGGCTTTCTCACAGAGATTATAGAGTCGGTGCCCAATAAACGGCTTCCCAAATGGCAGTCCCATCACTACTTCCACGGACTGATCGATGGTCTCAAATACATTCACAGCAAAGGTATATATCATCGCGACATCAAAGAAGACAATCTACTCATCGATAACTCACACGTCATTAAAATCGCTGACTTTGGCGTCAGTTATGTCTCGGATCTGTTCAAAGAGGACGATATCATTGACGGCTTCGAGGGTTCAAAACTATATCAACCGCCGGAACTATTGGGCGAATCGGGTGTCGAGCACACAGTCTATAGCGGATCCAAATTCGACATCTGGTCCGCAGGAGTGGTCTTATTTAAGATGATATCCGGTTTGTATCCATTCCTCCAGAATAATGAGAACATCTGGTCTGTGGACTCCTATAAACACGTTGAATACCCGGATGTGATTCGCGAAGACAAACAACTGATGCACTTATTTCAGGAGATCTTTGTCTTGGATTATAAGAAACGGATTTCAATGAAAGGCATGAAAAACCATCCGTGGATTCGACTCAAACACACCGACGAAGACAACAAGAAATTGGATTTTCCGCCGAAAAAGTTTGGAGATATCTATAGAGGAATCACTTTATTAGAGAGACTTCGCGTGCGATTCGAGTTTAAGACCCAAAATGAACCCAAAGTTTTCGTTACGAACAAAGAGTACGAGGAGTCCGTCAAACCTAAGGATCCAAACACGAGACCCAATAGGACTCCCATTAATAGGTCGCCTCCGAAGAAACCATTGACTCCTATCCGACGGTTGATTAGAATGGGACTCCTCTTCGGGCCTTCAGACGAGTCGTGAATTTGTTTTGTTTTTATTTATTACAAAATTATTACAAAATTTCATTCAACAAATTTTTAGAGATTTTTTCAATGCACAGAATTTAATATTTACTATAATTTGTATAATGCAATGATTTTATATTCAAAATTCTGTATTTAAAACTTTTGATACATACCTTATTTTAAGTCATTCAATAACAATATTTATAAACATAAACTATAAAATTTAACAATTCTGGAAATTTTGTATAGAATTTGATAATATTTAAATCATAATTAGTTTAAATAAAACTTTACTGTATAAACAAATTCAGATTTATGTAATTAATTATATATTTACGGGCAATAAAAAATGATTGCATTAATAACTGAATAATTTTCATTTAATTATAATTTCAATTAATTCACAAAATGAGACCACTTTTGGCACAGAAACTGATAAATATTATGACAATAGCTTATCTGCGACGAGACCTACTTCTTGTATGCCTTCTTCTTCGGCTGCCTTTTCTACTTCTTCGACGCCTTCGACTCCTTCTCTCCCGTTCTCTCCGTCTTCTTCTCCTCTCTTCCCTTTCGATTCGTTGTCTATTGTCTTCCCTTTGCCTCCGAAGTCGTCTCAGCTCTCGTTCCTTTCGGAAGAGCCGTCGGATTCGCATTCTTTGCCGGTATTCTGTGATCCGTTGTCGCCGTTGTCTTAGTATCCGTTGATAATGGAAGAGAACGTTATCAACGGTTCGATTGGGTCCGGACTCTGCGTTTGCTGTCACCACCTGTCCTCCAGAACTGTTGTCCACTGATGTTGTGTCCGAACTTCCGATACTAAGAGATGCGTCCGTTTCACACGCATTAGTAGTAGATGTATGTCCGGACTCAGTGCAGACACCACTAGTTCCCATCTCCGATCCCTTAGAGACCTTATCATCAGAAACTGTATGTTTGTGTTGGCTATCACTGAAGCTCTGAGATGCAGCTGAAGGAGTGGTAGGAATGGGATGGCCGTCGACAGAGACTCGGTGTGGACGCCATATGCTTTGGGAACCGGAGGTCTTATCCAACGAGTCATTAATGAGTGGAATTGATTGGTATTTCGCTTTAGACCTGAAGTTGTGTCTCATTTGAGTTATGGGTCGCCGACAGACCGGACACTCGCCGTGAGTTCGCATCCATTGCTCCAAACACTTGAAACAGAACTCGTGTCTACAAGTAGTGGACCGGCATTTGTCGGTTATCTTTTCCATACAAATGGCACACTTGTCTTCGTTCTCGTGTCCACTGTTTTTGTCACTATCTTTAGACTCTTTGTTTTTATCCTCATTTGTCTTATCCTTTCGTTTAGTGAATATAAGATTAGTATCTCTCAGTCGCTCTAACTCTTCGGCACTCACTTTAGAGTCTTTGCCTTTACTTTGGCCCACATTTTTGGACTCATTGTCTTTGACTTTGCTTTTATCAACATTTATCTCATTTGTGTCCTCTTTCTCATTGATACTGTCTTTCGGCTGTTTATCTCCATCTTTATGACTACCGTTGTCTTCATTGCTCTTATCGGTAGTCATATCTCAAAACTCTTAACCGTTAAAAAGTTTAACGTATTTTTGTGTTTTAAATTTAATTATTTTTGTGAGATTTTGCTTGAAAGTTTCAAATTGAAACCAGAATTTATAATATAAATTTTATATTAAATAAGATGTGAAATAACTCTTTAGACTTAGTGGTGATTTAATGATATTTAGTATATCTTAAACTCTTATACTTTCTGTTCTAAACGGAGCCTTCATCAGGAGTTATAAATAATTATGAAATTAAATGAATTAAAAAACCTCATACAGAAAATACATACATTATATTTGAGTAGTCGCAAGATGCGTTTGCAACCACGTATTTAATGAAGATTTGACAAATGTATTAATCATATTATCTTGCTTCATATATAGAAACCAATGGTTTAAGTTTTGCTAACCATTACAAACATTATAAACACTATCACCCTTCAGACATTTTAGCTTATTTAACAGATTGAAAAACATAAATTAATTACCAGCGATGTACCTTGTTAAATGTGTATACGATATACTGTCATAGCCTCATTATTAACAGATGCAGAAAATATGCCCACAAAAGGGAACGATATTAACAATAAGACTACCGAAAACGGGACAACCAATCTGATAACGAATGGCACTGGGTAAAATAATAGCATCTATATTATGGTGGTGCCAATCGTGTCCATAATCACCCATACAATGTCAATGTATTGAAACCAATACGTGTTGTTATATTCACCGATTGTCTTCACGAATATCGTATCAAATCTGCGGTCAGTTTTGTATAAATTTATAGATTTCCTTTAATTTTAAATTAATTTAATTCATGTCCAATTGAACCAGTACCGTTTTCCAAAACCATATAACATTATTCATCCAGATAAATCCAATTAATAGCAATCAATTAAGGACTCGTCTATTATAGGTCACACTTCTATTATATGTCTTGCGATATCTCTTAACTTTTAACGATAGAGCATCATTGTGGAAAGTATAGATAGTCGATATTAATCGATACCTGTACATTTTAATCTTATACTACGTGCTCAAAGTTGCAAAAACTTGTCAAACTTAGCTT